TTCAGCGACTCCTAGCATTACGCAAGATAGCCCTACTTACATACGAGCAATCTCGGAATAGCCTTCTTCAAAAACTCGAATTGAAAATTCACTTTGAGCGCCTCCTCATTGTCAAAAATATCTAGAGACGAAACAAACTTTATGTTCTAATCGTGATTTTAAAACGGCATGGGTATCTGGTGAAAAATGATTCTTGAATACTTATACTGAATACAATGGTCCATATCATGATTCGTTTATCAGATATAAACTTTCAAAACTAACTTGGTAGACAATCATCGATATTGTTCTCACAATTACGACCTGCAAAGCCATCAACACACTCGCACTGATACGAACCGACTGTATTCATACAACGTGCACCATTTCGACACGGGTTAATCAACGCGCATTCATCAATATCCTTCAATATTTCATTATTGAGAAATCACTAATAATAACTAATCTCTTATCGTTTTTGTTTTCGATCAGTGAATACACGTGTTAAATCTTCGTTTTCACCTAAAAACAAATGGAATCCATCCCACAATGCGCTTTGGCTAATTGATCACAAAAATCTTTCAATTACTTCCTTCAATGCTATTTTATAAAAATGTCTTCCCGTAATTAATGCATTCGTAATCGGATGGAATGCTCTTATCGAATGTATACATACACCAATAAGTACTATGCAAATGATCTTCAGTTAAATAAATAAATGAATATATTTGTTATTATATTAAGAGATGATACGTGAGTGATATATGCAAATTAAGGTGTGAAGTGCTGATTTGCATGAGAATGCACCGAAACTGTATGAATAGCACAGTACTTGACATGCTCTTTAGACTGCTTGACGTAATGAAGTTGATGTGAAAGTAAATATTTTTTTGTTTTCCAGTAATAGAATACAAAACGAACCGTTCGGCAAAACTCTCCTTCAAAACCTGACGCACATTCACACGTGTAATTTTTGTAATTAGACGTCGGTTTACATACAGCATCATTCTCACAATGATTTCCTCTGCATGGATCAAGTCTGAAATTTCATTTATA